TAAATCTCGATTTACGGCAAAACTACAAGTCCTATCGAAAAAAGTTCAATCGCAAAGTTGTAGACAATAAAAATATCTACAACTTTTGTATCTATAGTTTTTCTCCATAACCTCAAAATTCATGTGAAAAATCCAAAAAACCACATTATTGATTTTTTATTTTTATCTTTTACGTTTATAAATAGATTTTATATTTTATTAATCTAACATAGAACCTAATGTTTTTCGAGTAATTATAGTAAAGTAAAGTTTAATGAATACCTCGAAATTGTACATAAGGATTTAAAAAAAATCGAATTTTAGTATTTTTGGTTTTTTTTGCATTTTGTGAAATTTTTTTCAATAGCAATGTATATTTTTTTACACCATCAGAAAATAGAGATATCAACGAACAAAAACCCACCGACTTTTTTGAAATATCAGATATTTTCACGTGAGAATTTTCGATTGAAAATTAGGGTGCTTTTTCGATAGCGAGTCAAAATAGGGTGAAAAATTAGTATTTTAAATCTTCAAAATTCCAGTGTGTCCCAACATAAAGAGGTAAGTTTTCACCAAATATCATGAAAAAAAAAACAATTTTTTTGTAAAAGATAAAAATAAAAAATCAAAAATGTGGTTTTTTGGATTTTTCACATGAATTTTGAGGTTATGGAGAAAAACTATAGATACAAAAGTTGTAGATATTTTTATTATCTACAACTTTGCCATTGAACTTTTTTCGATAGGACTTGTAGTTTTGCCGAAAATCGAGATTTACCGACTTTTCCCCTTAAAAACTCCCCCCCTACCCCTTCTCAACCTCAGATCGCCCGTAATTTACTTTTCCTATCATTTTGGTGGTATTCCCTTCCTTTTCCAATAGGTTTCATCCTACTTTAATTTTTTTTCGTTTATAATGATTTTTGACGGCTTTGACCCTGTTCTATTGTCAGAGTATCCAAAGAATAGAAATATTAAAAACAGGAGAAGTGGCAAGGGGGCGTGTCTGTGTCCGCGCGTTGTGATCAAAATGGTCAGCTTCTATACAAATGGCCGTCTCTGCAAATTAGTGCGCTTGCGACCATCATCGTGAAATATTATCAGAATGCCATGTTGTTCAGATGTTTCTTGTAAAAACCGAAGCCAAAACAAAAACTTTTTACTTTTCAACTTTGTACTACAAGTATTTCATTATATTTATCTTTAAAATCATGTAAAAAACAAATCGTAAAATATTTCTTTCTCTTACTACGTTATTTTTGTTTCCAAATATCACAGCCACTGTAATATTTTTGCAGTAAATACATTGCTCCATAACCACTACCTAAGTATGACGCCAAATGACTCAACAAGCAATGTAAATATCACAAACCAATACTTTATTTATGCGAATATATTGCGTAGTACGGCCGCTGTATCTTGTGACGAGCTGGTAATGTGCATATACAGATCCAATAATGTGGATTGGCGAATTGCTATTATAGTTTATTCTCCCATTTGTCAACCGTTTCAACCCGATAGAAAGACCGATGTGACATAATGTTCTTTTACTTATTTTGATTATTTTACAGCAACTATTACGCTGAATGCGTAACCAAAGGTCGTAAAGTAAGTTGATTAAATTTTAGGTTACGTCGGTTATAATCGATGGAGTGTTCTCATGTTTGAATTATCGTACATCATGCCTTATCTTCGAAAAATTTTCATAATTTTTATGGTTTTGGGGTTTAATATAATTTACACTTTTCAAAAGCTTCGAATGTATCATAAATACCTAACCGGCATGGTTATATGACTTTGGCTTAAAATTATTCAATATATAAATATAAATATATATAAAACCTCCTGGTTACTGATAATATTGTTAAACATAATGTTTTCATATATTTAACAATATTATCACTAACCAGGAGTTTTTATAACAAAAGATCGCCAAGCAAAACCTGCTTAGTAAATGGTGAGGTTAAAAAGTAGCTTAGGATATATGAAAATAATAAATAGGTTATTAATCGTACCTTTCGGCTTGCCAAATGATGCTAATTTAAAAAAGGAATGGATTGATGCCACGGAAAGGTCACCTGACTTCGTTCCCTACAAAAAAAAAACTAGTACTGTTCGTCGTAATTTGTACGCGAATTAAAATTATCATAAAAACAGCTTGTCTCGCTAATGATAAATAAGGAATTACAACTAAAAATGTCAAACAGGAACTCATGGCAAAGGCTTTGTAAATTTTTTTTAATGTTAAGTTTCACCAATTTGAGCAGTCCCCGATGAATAGTCACAATATATTTCTTATAAAAGCAGTCATGGAAAAATAAATTAATTTAGGATTACACTATTTGACAAAAATGCCACCTCAGAAATATAAAAACGTCAAGTACTGCACAAATACCTTCACTTTGCAGGTCAGTGAGTAAGCACCATAGCATGGTTCCAAAATACCTACTACTTCAATCCGCTATGATGGCCTAAACCAACATAACCGGATTTTTTACTGTTTTTATTTATTTTATATTTAGGGCCCAAAAATTTTAGTACAATTTTGGTTTAAATGAAACAATCGATAACTTTCCAATTTAGTCAATCACTAACGTATATGTACAGTGTATACGTAGTTCGGGCGCAGATGCAAATATATATTGTTAAAATTTTTCATGAATAAAGAAATTATTATTGGGGGGTATCAATATAGTTTTCTCATCTGGTTGGGTTCTATAAATATATAATTATAAATGGAAATGAAAAGATAAATATACATAAATATCAATAAAATGAAATAAATATAAAAATATATACATAAATAAAAGCCCAACCAGATGGAGGCCCTCGGCAGGGGAAACCAAATGGCCGAGGGTTAGGGGGAAAGGGAAAGAAACCGGCGGACGATGCGGGCGGTATCGAGGAGCACCGCCTTCTGCATTTGGGCCTGGAGCGGTCCGCCACGTATTCCCAGTCGCCTTAGATGACCCGCGAGGCTGAGTTTGAGGGAAAATTTCGGCCAGCAGACCACCCCACATGTTGGTTACCTCGGTGAGTCAGGTCCAGTTATTTTGTTTGCTTATCTGTTTCGGCTTTCACGAGGTTCTCGTCATACGGAATGGTAATGTCGACCAAAAATATCCTTGACTGTGCCCGGTCCATCAGCACAATATCAGACTTATTCGCAAGATAAGTCCTGTCTGTGATGATGGCCCGGTCCCAATAGAGCCTGGCGCGGTCATTTTCGAGCACGGCTTCTGGCAAGTACTTGTAATACGCAATTTCCGATTCACGAGACCGTATTTCAGAGCGAGCTCCTGGTGAAGAATTCTGGCTACTAGGTTGTGTCTGTGCAAGTACTCAGAGTTAGAAAGCGCCGAACAACCGGAGATGACATGCCTAAGTGACTCACCGGGATGGCGACAAGCTCGACAGATGTCGACGGTGCCATCCTTTAGGATGTATCTCCGATAGTTGTTGGTCTTAATGACCTGATCTTGTATTGCACAGACAAAACCCTCGGTTTCACCGAAGAGGTCACCAAAACGTAGCCAGTGGAGGGAGGCTACTGTGTCTACGAAAGGTTCATGTAGAGCCTTGTAGAACCTCCCGTGGAGCTCCTTCTCCTTCCATACGGTCTCCCGGTTGGAAATGCTCTGCACTGCCGGATTTTGTCATTGCTCGTTGGCTAAGGATAGAGGGTCCTTTATCACAAGAAATGACGTCCTTATAAAATGGATCATCCGCTCTCGGCAGGAAGTAATTACGGAGGCTGTACACTTCGCGATTATGCATGGTGAGTGCGCTCAAGAAGCCGCGCCCACCATGCTTTCGCGGCAAGTACAGCCTCATTACCGACGATCTCAGATGACGCATCCTATGGGACGTCATGGCAGTGCGGACTTTTCTATCCAGGGCGTTAAGTTCAGTCTGAGTCCACCTGAGTATGCCAAAGGTATACATGAGGACAGGCATGACCCAACCGTTATATGCGTGTGCCTTATTCACACCGGACAAAAGGCTGTTAAGCACTTTGGTCAAGCGTGCATAAAACACGTCGCAAACTGAATGTTTCATACCAGCCTCATCGATACCGATGTTCTGTGACATACCCAGGTATCGGTATGTTTCAGCTTCGGAAAGGGTCCTTAAGTTGACGGGCGTAGATAAGTCTATGCCCTCAGAGTTAGCAACCCTTCCCCTTTCAACATGGAGGACCGCACACTTATCCGTCCCCAGCTCCATTCCAATGGAATTGCTAAATTCACAAGTGATGTTTAGCAATTCCATAAGATGAGAGCGACTGGAGGCGAATAACTTGAGGTCATCCATATAGAAAAGGTGGGTCACTTTTGTCCCTCCTTTCCATAGCTGAAATCCCCTCCCGGAGCCCTCCAGTAAGGTACTGCGACGGTTCAGAGAGAGGCAGAATCAGATTGGAATCAGACAATCGCACTGGAAGATACCCCTTCTTATCCTTATGTGGTTCTCCGCAGCCATCATCCGCTCGCCCAGATGACAAAGGATCGTACTCCACTGCCCCATATACTGCTCGAGGAAGTCTCTAACTGTATAGTCTATCTTGTACAGCTCGAGGACTCTCTTTAGCCATGTATGTGGCACGAGTCGAATGCCTTTCTGTAGTCTATCCGGGCGGCGGAGAAGTTCCGACCGTTGCGTTCACCACTTTGCCAATGACCGCTTCAATGAGGAGTGGTTACTTGGTTCCACGATCACCGCCCCGACATCCATTTTGAGCGCGCGACATCACCTGATTTGAGTCCAGGTGACGAGTGATTCTCGCGCTCAAAATATGTTAGTGTATTGTATATGGTCGGTAGACACGTGATGGGGCGGTATTTGCTCGGGTCTGTGGTAACCTGGTCTTTAGGAACCAAATGGGTGATCTCAGTAGTGTAGAGGCTAGGTAGCGACTTCTGGTTGAGAGCTTCTTTAAATTGTCGGGCGAGCACAGTGTGACACACCACGAACCCTTTCAGCCAGTAGTGATGCAGCCCGTCGAGTCCCGGACTTTTTCAGTTCGGGGCCCTACGGACCGCCTCAGCTACGTCATCCGGTGTTATAATGACGGGGTCATTGGGCGTTATACTCGCACACTGACTCGCCGCAACTTCCGTACAAGGGCCCTCGCTGTGGTTTACGGGCTCTGACCACAGGCCGCGCCAGAATGCTACAGTGTCGGCCTGATTCGGTGCTGGGCCCTTTCCACTTACCATTGGTCGCACCAATGATTCATAGAGCCACTTCTGGAAGAGATCACTCTGGAAGAGACGATTCTGGTTGAACCGTGTCGACCTCTCGGTATATCGCCGAATCCGCTTTCCCCAAGCAGCGATTTTTTGCTTCAGATCATCTATGCGCTCCTTCAGTTTTTGCGTTATATCCGGCTGGGACAAACTGACATTTGTCCCAGCAAACGCCATCCTGACGGTGCGCACAATTCTTGGCCTGTTATTGCCTGATCTGAAGCATATCAGTCTGCCGATGAGAGCTCTTGCCTTTGCGATACGGTCCTCGATTCTTTTTCTCCAGGCTGGGATGGAAGGCTGGATGGCGCTACTTTGTCGAGTAGCATGTCCAGCCATGGGAAGTTTGGCGTCCAATAATATGGCATACTGCCAGTGCGGCGCCAAAAAGAATTGAGTCCGTCTCGCAAAGGTCCCGGCTGGTTTCCAAATAGGTCACCAGCATTTGGTTAAAAGCCCGCACGACAGCCCGATTTCGCTTGCTAAGGGGTATGCGGTTTTCAAGAGGCATGCTGCGCGTTTCCAGCATCAACTCTTCCAATATGCTCCTCATTTTCTATAGTTCGTGTGAGACTATTCCATCATCGTCTGAATCAACCACTAATGGAATATTGACGGCAGCATCCACATATGCAGTTTGCTGCGCAACTAGTGGCGCCGCATTCCCGTTAGCGTTAGCGTTTCCATTCTATGAGGGAACAGCCTCACGTCGTAGTCGTTCGAGTTCGGTGTCACCAAATATGTTGGAGCGCAGGGTGTACCAAACTCGGTCTGCCAGGTTTTGCTCAGTGACGGTAGAGAGGCTCCAGCTGGCAGCCAGATGGCAGCGATACGCCAAACATCCAGTTTCTTCCCCTATTGCCCTAAAGTACGCCCGTAGTGCGTTTGCGTTCATTATTTGTGACCAACGCATGTGATGTGCTCCACCAGCGATGGGTGCCGATTGCTGAGTCCGAGAAGACCCAGCCAACACCAAGCGTGGTGGGGATAATGGATGCGGGGAGCTGCTAGGTGGTCTTGCAGCACCCCACGCTCAGTTGGCGGCCCGCATGCTGTCACGTCCAGCGCCAGCTCCAAACGCACCCTGGCGACCTCCAGGCAGCGGCCCTTTACGCTCTATCTTTTTGTCCTTCATCCATGATTTGGGCGTCCATTAACGGGAGACGCCAGGCCCGGCACCGTATCGCGTGTGGCGTAAAACGGGCCTTTGCACCCTAAATTCTGCCGAGGCACGGCGCTCACACCTCTCGCAAGGCGCTGGTTATTGTTATTATTGTTACGAGCTTGAGGTTCGTGACAATAAAAATTGCCGATAAAATTACCTAAATTAACACTTTAATTTACTTTACAAGAATTAAAACTTAAAACACTAATGATTAAACACACTAATTCACTTAATTCCGCTCCGAAGCTTCGCTTGTGTCGCCGAGTTCAAGTCCACCTCGATCGCATCTTGCAGCGCCTACTTATTTAAATTAGCAAAGAAATATCCAGAATGTTCAAGTAAACACGCGCAAGGTACCAAGCGTTCGAGTTTCGACTAGGCGCTGTCGGTTGAGTGATTTGTGATGTCATTTTCTCAATGCTCCCCTCGCTCTCGTTCCTGACACTAGATGGCGCTAGTGTATCGTCGACTTGAGCGCGTAACATTATTATTATTATGTAAATTGGTTTTTTTATAGCACAAGGATAGTGCCCGATATTTTTGTGTGAGTAAGTAGTACGGTGATAATTGTAAATGGACGTTGTGATTTTAGAGATATGGTTTATAATTAATTGTGTAGTAAGTTGTGATTTATTCAATGCGAGTATATGCGTGACTGCGTATCTATTGCTTTTACTGATCTGTTTGTGTAGTAGTTGGCGCGTGGTAGGGGCCAACTGGAGACACCGGGTTCCGATACATTTTCAACTACTGGGCATATCTCCTTCATTATTATATCTATGATACAAAGTATTGACTAAATAGTTGAATAATTAATAGATGACTAATGGTTGAGCCAAAGAAATGCGATTTTCAACCTACAGCTTTATTTCCAATTCCATCATTGAGCTAAATCTGAACGATAGGGTGAGAAATTGTGGGACTATAGAAAATTGTCATTTGCAATATGATGTTGTGACCAGGATTAAGAAAGGAATGCTTCGGTGGTTTAGTTATGTAAAGAGAATGAACACAGAAAGAATGACAAAACAAATCTATATTGCGGATGTACCGGCAGAGTTGGAAAGGGATACCCTAGAAAGGGTTTACCGCTTTACTTCATCATGTAAAAATTTTATTCTATTTCCTGATTGACGTTTAGATGTAATAGTTGAACTATAAATGTCGGATGATGGAACGTAGGATTTATTTACTGGCAAAGTTGCTGTAGTGGTTGATGGAGTAGTGTGGGTGTTGTGATGACAACATAATTATGTTTGGAGTAAGTAAACTATATGGCTCTGGTATACTTAACATAGGATAACCGGGGAATGAAGATTGCTGCTGTGGCATTGATACAGGTGAGTCTGATGAAACATAAAAAGCTTGGGAAGATGAAAGACGGTATATTTCAAGTTGTGATGCAGGTGAAAAAGAATCAACAGAGCGCGGAGTACTTGAGGAAGAAATATAACGCCGTGTTTCTCAATTCCTTATTTTTTCATCAATACATTGTCTAATTCACACATGACTTCCTGTTTTTCGACATCAGAAAAATATTTCTTCAATTTTGAAGCTAGCAGTTTTCTATAGTGATCACATACATCGTACCCAATGCACTTTTCATGTGCCTAGTTTCCTCTTGAAGCTCAGTAGGGTTAGAGGAACGACGCTTCAATACATTTTTATCAGAGGGGGTCGGAAGTCCTCCTTGTGTGATAAAATTTAATAGCGTGCAAGCTCCTCTTGTTCATCTAACACTTGTCTTGTTTCATCAGGTTCGACTACCGTGTGTATCATATATCATATCTTTGTGTCTGAAAAAAACGCAAATTTTATAAGTTTAATAAATAATACTATTTTTGTTCCAGATCCCTACGTCCCCAGAAGAATGGCTTACTGTAGCAAGAGGATTTAGATTCCCGCATTGTGTAGGGGCATTAGATGGTAAACATATTAAATTACAAAGCCCACCTAAAACTAGTGCAGAATATTATAATTATAAAGGGGACTTTAGTACTGTCCTATTGGCTCTAGTAGGCAGTAATTATTGCTTCTTATTTGCTGATGTAGGTGTTCAAGGCCGTATTAGTGATGGTGGTGTTTTTAGACAAAGTGCATTGTGGAAAAAAATATTAACAATAGTATTAATATCCGTGGTCCACGCCATTTCCACACGGGTCAGATACTGAATTTCCATATGTTATGTTAGGTGATGGAGCATTTGCACTTCACACAAATTTAATGAAACCATATCCTGGAAATCACAAAACGAGTAGCCCCCAACAAATTTTCAACCAAATGCTTTCTAGCTCTCGCGTTATTGTTGAAAACACATTTGGTATTATGGCCAGCGTATTTAGAGGATTTAAAAACCCAATACCTCTGGATGAAGAAAAAGCATCCATTGTAACAATGACATGTGTTCTTTTACATAACTTTCTTCGAAAAAGTAAAACATCTCGGGATATATATACTTCAGACGGAACCATAGATAGATACGTTAACGGCGAGTTAATTGTACCTGGCTCTTGGAGACGAACAGATCATTCTTGTTTCTTTCTCTTACAAGTTATACCCCGAAGAAATCCAAGAAATGCAACAGAAGTAAGATCAAATTTTGCATATTATTTTGCTCAAAACATGAATAAAAACTATCATTAAGTATAAAAAATTGATTAATAAACTGATTAATTCCCATGATCCTGTTTAAAATTATTAAAAAATATGATAAAACTAGCATCATAGTTTGTATATTATATGTTTGTATTATTTCTAGTAATTTAATTTTATTTAGATTTAAGTGTGAAATAAATAAATTCTGTGTAAACTGTGCTGTGTTGGGTAATTACCAATGCATCCATTTTACTGGAACATTCATATACATCTCCCAGAAACGACTCCATGACATCATAAAATACCCAAATGGGTTTATATACATCTTCATAACCACATCCAGAAGATACTGAAGCTTTTTTCTTTTTTAAGTGTTGTCTAAATGTGGCCATTAAAACTTCTTTCTTTTTTTAAGATCAGGAATAGAAATCTCCATTTCATTGGAGATCCTTACCTAAGCATCATGCACCTAAAAAGAAATAATAATAAATTAATAACAAATTCAGAAATTCTAACTTTTCTCTTGTCACAAGGCACAAATCCTATATTAACTTCCAAAATCCATACTTCTAATAAATTATTATCTTAAAACACATTTAAAAAAAAGAACCAGGAGACGTAATAAACTTTAGCCTAACAGGGTCCACATAATTATAATTCACCTAAATAACTTGTGGAAATGTGGAGTCCAATAAATGAATTAAGTATGTTATTCCAAATATATACAATGTTATTCCAAACTTACATGGGGTGTTATTTATTGGTTGATTGACATATCAGCTGTTTATTACAGGCAATATAATTTTAAAGATTTATTTACTATATACTTAATTTTATATATTTGCCTAGGCTACTTATGATAGATGTGATACAGCTACTCTTAACAGGACGAAGTTTGTATTTGAATTTCATATTATATATAAATATCTGAGGGAAAAACAAACACTTAAATAAAACAAAATAGTTGAATAATACTCACTTTATTTTTATTTTTGTGGTGTAAGTCTTTGAGGTTCCAAATAACGGGTTCATTTTTGTATATTTCCAAAAACTTAAAGATATCCTCATTAGTACAAAGTGACATTATCGAAATTATTTAAACACAGTGTACTTTTTTATATAGGATTTTAAAGTTGCAATTTAATTAAAACAATATAATATCATCGGGACGGACGCCAAGCTGTATATGACATGGCCGTCAATATGTGGACACGACTTGCCCAGTGTAGGCGAGCACCTTTGATTTATGCAGAAAGACAGACACTTCCGAAGTGAACGAGCCGTAGCGAGCGATCCCAAGTGGCGGCAAGGCACGCCAAACGAACCATATACACGTTGGCGCTCGCCTGCACTCGGCCAGCTAGGCGAGCATCGAAGAGTAATGGCGAGGCTAGACCACAGAACTTAGGCGGGAAGAATGTCAACTTCAAACAAAAAAAATGGCACCCATAATGCACGCCATCTCTGTCGTGCCCCACTAAAACTTTTTTTGCGCGGGAATTTTGAAACGTGATTTTTTTTTAGTTGGCGTCTTGGTTGTTTCGTTTCAAAAATGGTTTAAGAATGTAAAATACCATATAGATAGATATAGCTTGTAGTTTTTCGTTTCAATGATATATATTGCTAAATTAAAACGAAAACAAAAGCACAAAGTTATTTGTAAATTATGGTACTTTACATTCATAAACCACTTTTGAAATGATTAGCAATCATTTTAATATAAAAAAGGAACTATTTTTCAAATAAAAGTGGTTTTTGAAATACATAATTTTTATTTACGTTACATATTTGTCCAGATTGGTACATAGAAAAACCGTTGGTACATTGATGGACGTAAGTGACGTAGTAATTAACTAATTTTTAACTTTATGCATGTAAACAGTTTTCAACAGCTCTTAACTAAATATCGATTTAATAGTTAAGTAGTTATATAAAGCAGAATAAGTATTTTTAAGAGGTAGGCATGTTTTAGCGAAGTATAGGAAATAAGCATTCTCGTAACTTCGCTAAAACACGTGTCAATGATTATTAGTTTATAGGTAATTAGTTCATCACTTCACCTATTAAGTAAACGGCATATGTAACATGACATAAGCAAAATGGAAAGTAAAGGTACATTGGTTTTATATAAAAAAGATTAGACAATCTAATATAAACACTTTTTTCTAACAAGAAAACATTATTTACCTTCACATTCTACAAACAAGGCAATAGCTTTGCAATATTATGTCTAAACTCCAATAACCTGATTATATTATAGATGCCACCAATAATATTACATTTGTAGAAATTATTTTCGTTATATTATTGTTACTGACTGAATTAAAAAATAATAAGTCAACATTTTCATGTCATTAATTAGCACTACCTGCTGCAAATCCATCCACGAAAAACAAAAAGGATAAATGGAGCTATATGATATAATGGAGGATATCATGTGAGGAAATAATTACAGGTTTGCAAAAAACTAATGCAAAAAGAGGGGGATATTTTACATTTTAATATTTCATTTACTGAATCATTTTTGCTCAATACTTTGAGAAATGCTTCATTCTTTAGATGCTTTACAGTTTTTTGAAGCCTGTTAATTTTTCTCAGATGATATTTCATTTTTATCAACATATCTTTATCCTTTTTGTTTTTCGTGGATGCATTTGCAGCAGCAACAGGATTGATATTCTCAGTTACTTGAGGAATAGCACTAGTTTTGTCAGGAATGGTCTTATAATGCACATTCTTACACAAGGGTTGTATACATTTTGACGGACCCGCAACGGGCTCAAATACATTTGGAACAGTTATAGTCTTCTGAATATTTTCAGACAGTGGTTGTTTAGTAGTTGATGGACCCTCAATATGTTGAATGACATACCTTTGTTCCAAATTAAGGTCACCTAATGTGATCTTAAAATTAGATATTATCAAATCATTATTTATATCATGTATCCCAGCATTGATCAACCTATCTCTAAATTTCAAACAGCCTTATAAATTTATAAACATTAAATACAACTTGTTTTTATTAATGAATGTTGCTTTAACCCATTACCACCACTACTTACTTATGGCTGCGAAACTTGGACATTTTCTAAGCAGCACAGAGATATGCTCGAACATTGTCAAAGAGCCATGGAAAGGAGCATGCTAAGAATCAGAAAAATAGATAAGCAAAGAAACACACACATAAGAACAAGAACAGGTGTGACAGATATTCTCACCAAGATAGACCAAATGAAGTAGCGATGGATAGGTCATATGCTATGGAGCCCTCAAGATAAATGGAGCTATATTATTATTATTATTCTTGTAGTATATCTATATAGTTTTCTCATCTGGTTGGGTTCTATAAATATATAATTATAAATGAAAATGAAAAGATAAATATACACGAATATCAATAACATAAAATAAATATAAAAATACATAAATAAATAAAAGCCCAACCAGATGGAGGCCCTCGCAAGGGAGACCAAACGGCCGAGGGTTAGGGGGAAAGGGAAAGAAACCGGCGGAAGATGCGGGCGGTATCGAGGAGCACCGCCTTCTGCATTTGAGCCCGGAGCGGTCCGCCACGTAGTCCCAGTCGCCTCAGATGACCCGAGAGGCTGACTGGGATTAGCCCGTTTGCAGAGACGACTACAGGAATAATTTCGGTCGGCAGACCACCCCACATGTCGGTCACATCGTGAGCCAGCTCCAGATATTTTGTTTGCTTGTCTGTTTCGGCTTTCACGAGGTTCTCGTCATACGGAATGGTAATGTCGACCAAAAATATCCTTGACTGTGCCCGGTCCATCAGCACAATATCAGGCTTATTCGCAAGAATAGTCCTGTCTGTGATGATGGCCCGGTCCCAATAGAGCCTGGCGCGATCATTTTCGAGCACGGCTTCCGGCAAGTACTTGTAATACGGCAATTTCCGATCCACGAGACCGTATTTCAGAGTGAGCTCCTGGTGAAGAATTCTGGCTACTAGGTTGTGCCTGTGCAAGTACTCAGAGTTAGAAAGTGCCAAACAACCGGAGATGACATGACTAAGTGACTCACCGGGATGGCGACAAGCTCGACAGATGTCCACGGTGTCATCCTTTAGGATGTATCTCCGATAGTTGTTGGTCTTAATAACCTGATCCTGTATTGCTCAGACAAAACCCTAGGTTTCCCCGAAGAGATCACCAAAGCATAGCCAGTGGAGGGAGGCTACTGTGTCTACGAAAGGCTCATGTAGAGCCTTGTAGAACCTCCCGTGGAGCTCCTTCTCCTTCCATACGGTCTCACGGTCTGAAATGCTTAGCACTGCTGGGTCCTGCCATTGCTCGTTGGCTAAGGATAGAGGGGTAAGCCCTTTATCACTAGAAATGACGTCATTATAGAATAGATCATTCGATCTCGCCAGGAAGTAATCACGGAGCTGATATGAAATGGGAGGCCATGCTTTCGCGGCAAGTACAGCCTTATTACCGACGATCTCGGATGATGCGTCCTATGGGACGTCATGGTAGTGCAGACTCTTCTATCCAGGGCGTTAAGTTCAGTCTGGGTCCACCTGAGTATGCCGAAGGTATACATGAGGACAGGCGTGACCCAACCGTTATATGCGTGTGTCTCATTCACACCGGACAAAAGGCTGTTAAGCACTTTGGTCAAGCGTACATAAAACACGTCGCAAACTGACTGTTTCATACCAGCCTCATCGATACCGATGTTCTGTGACATACCCAGGTATCGGTATGTTTCAGCCTCGGAAAGGGTCCTTAAGTTGACGGGCATAGATAAGTCTATGCCCTCAGAGTTAGCAACCCTTCCCCTTTCAACATGGACGACCGCACAATTATCCGTTCCCAGCTCCATTCCAATAGAACTGCTAAACATCACTTGTGAATTTAGCAGTTCTATTGGAATCGTCATCCATATAGAAATGGTGGGTCATTTTTGGAACTCCTTTCCGAAGCTGAAATCCCCTCCCGGAGCCCTCCAGTAAAGTACTGAGATGGTTCAGGGGGAGGCAAAACCAGATTGGACTCAGACAATCGCCCTGGAAGATACCCCTTCTTATCCCTATGTGGTTCTCCGCAGCCATCATCCGCTCGCCCAGATAGCAAAGGATCGTACTCCATTGCCCCATACACTGCTCGAGGAAGTCTCTAACTGTACAGTCTATCTTGTACAGCTGGAGGACTCTCTTTAGCCATGTATGGGGCACCGAGTCGAATGCCTTTCTGTAGTCTATCCAGGCGGCGGAGAAATTCCGAAGGTTGCGTTTCACCACTTTGCCAATGACCGCGTCAATGAGGAGTGGTTCCTTGGTTCCACGACCACCGCCCCGGCATCCATTTTGAGCGCGTGACATCACATGATTTAGCTCCAGGTGACGAGTGATTCTCGCGCTCAAAATGGATGTCAGTGTCTTATATATGGTGGGTAGACACGTGATGGGGCGGTATTTGCTCGAGTCTGTGGTATCCTGATCTTTAGGAACCAAATGAGTGATCCCCGTAGTAAAGAGGCTCGGGAGCGACTCTGATCGAGAGCCTCTTGAAACTGTCGGGCGAGCACAGCGTGATACACTACGAACCCCTTCAGCCAGTAATGATGCAGCCCGTCGAGCCCCGGACTTTTCCAGTTCGGGGCCCTACGGACCGCCTCAGCCACGTCTTCAGGCGTTATGGTGAAGGGGTCCATAGGCGTAACACTTGCACTCTGGCTCACCACAACTTCTACCCAAGGGCCTTCGCTGTGGTTTACGGGCTCTGACCACAGGCCACGCCAAAATGCGACAGTGTCGGCCTGATCCGGTCCTGGGCCCGCTCCACATAACTCTGGTCGCTCCAATGATTTATAGAGCCTCTTCTGATCACTCTAGAAGAGACGATTCTGGTTGAACCGCCTTGAACTCTCGGTAAATCGTCGAATCCGCTTCCCCCAAAGCAGCGATTTTTTGCTTCAGGTCATCTATGCGCTCCGTTAGTTTTTGCGTGATATCCGGCTGAGTTGAGAACAAACTGATATTTGTCCCAGCAAACGCCATCCTAACGGTGCGCATAATCCTCGGTCTATTATTACCCGACCTGAAGCTTGTCAGTCTGCCGATAAGGGCCCTTGCCTTTGCGATACGGTCCTCAATTCTTTTTCTCCAGGCTGGGATGGCGCTACTTTTTTGAGTAGCACGTCCAGCCACGGGAAGTTTGGCGCCAATAATACGGCATACTGCCAGTGCGGCGCCAAAAAGAATTGAGTCCGTCTCGCAAAGGTCCCGGCTGGCTTTCAAATAGGTCACCAGCATTGGGTTAAGAGCCCGCACGACAGCCCGATTTCGCTTGCTAAGGGGTATGCGGGGAAGTCGCGGTCGATTTTCGAGAGGCATGCTGCGCGTTTCCAGCATCGACTCTTCCAATATGCTCCTCATTTTCTCTAGTTCGTGGAAGACTATTCCATCATCGTTAGAATTAGTCACTAATGGAATGTTGACGGCAGCATCCACATATGCAGTTTGTTGCGCATCTAGTGGCGCCGCATTCCCAGCCGTAGCATTTCCATTCGATGAAGGAATAGCCTCACGTCGTAGTCGCTCGAGTTCGGCGTCACCAAATATGTTGGAGCGCAGGATGTACCTAACTCGGTCTGCCAGGTTTCGCTCAGTGACGGATAGAGATGGCTCCAGCTCTGCAAAAAAGCGATGCATCCGAGCCCGATACGCCAAACATCCAGTTTCTTCCCCCTTTTGCCCTAAAATACGCCCGCAGTGCGTTTTCATTCATGGATTTAGACCAACGCATGCGACGTGCTCCACCAGCGGCGGGTGCCGCTTGCTGAGTCCGAGAAGACCCAGCCGACACCAAGCCTTGTGGTGGGGATGATGGATGCGGGGGGCTGCTAGGTGGTCTTGCAACACCCCGCGCTCGGCTGGCGGCCCGCATGCAGTCGCGTCCAGCGCCAGCTCCAGACGCGCCCTGGTGACCTCCAGGCAGCGGCCCTTTGCGCACTATCTTTTTTATTATTATTATTATTATTATATAATGCGATCTGAAAATTAGAGATTATCAAATCATTATTTATATCATGTATCCCAGCATTGATCAACCAATATCTAAATTTCAAACAGCCTTATAAATTGATAAATATTAAATACAACTTGTTTTTATTAATGAATGTTGCTTTAACCCATTACCACCACCATCCTATATATTTTTTTAAAGTTTATATATTTTGTTTTTTTATGGTTGAGAAGTAATGGTAGGTTACGTCGCATACCCTTATAAATCACCACTCAATCTGTTACCACCGTTTGTTAACTAGAAAATATTTTCACTGTAGTATGACAAAAGCCACACAAAAGAAAAAAATGTAGATAGTAATAAAAGAAAGATTAACTAACCTTATCACATTCCTCATCAGGTACTGCAGATTTGACTAGCCTCTTTCCAAAATTATCAATGAATGATGATTTCTTAAAATGTTTAATGCACAACATTAAATGCTTAGAATGAAGCTTGTTTTGAAATTCTGGTGACCAACAAGAGTCATGAGGAAAACAGTACTTCGCCCATAATTCACATCTGAAAAAATATAATTAGATAATAATATACTACTGAGGTGCTAAAAACATGCTTGGAAGAAGAGTGCAATACAAGAGATTGTTCCTTTCAAACAATGTGATTGTATTGTATACATATATAAATATTATTCCACATGTTATTTCTATGTGTACCAATACATCTATAACTACTTTATTATGTTATGATTTCTATGTGATACACCTCATGCATAATTTCCCTTTTATTTTCAGATTTATTTGCACACGTTTTTAAATCGCTTAATATGTATCATAGGTTTTATTAGCCGATGCGGCCCATAATAATTTTTATTTATGTTACTTTATTAATTCAGTGGTTCAAATTTAAACATTTTAAAACTGTTTTAATCAGTAACCAAAAAGCTATTTAGCATACGTACCGTCAGCTATTTGTTCTCCCAGGCTTAGGAAAACGATGCAAGGTGATTAATCATGAGCAGGAGAACATCCACACTTGTAACATTTCCTTTCGTTTTCTTTCATGATGAAAGATAAAATTGAGTCTCTGTCTCTTTAGCACAATGCACAGCACTTGTTTTTGAGTCTCTTTCTCAATGTAAACACTAAAACGGAGGAACGGGATGTTCAACTCAACGTTAGTAATGTAGGAAATAAGTTAATATCAAAATATAAACTTAATTTGCAACACAAATAAACAAGAACACAACCGCAAGCGCAAGGGATTTGCCATTTGTAATTTTGTTTATTTGCCGTTGCCATAACTTGCCTTTTTTATTATAGTATGCAGTTTCATATTCACACATTTTGTTACTTCAATACAGACGTAATAAATATATATTTAACGAAATATATTATATAATAAAGTATTATAATTATTAAATAAAAAAATGATTAAAATGATATGTCATTTAAAATAATATTTCTTTCATGGCAAGATAACATAAAGTGCGAGGGAGATAGATATTAATCCATCTCGCTTCCTTAAAGCCCCCCAAGGTCATCTCCCGGTACCAATCTTTTATTAGGAAGTTGACTGGCCCTGGGCTAGACTAATGGGGTGTCTATAATTTGGCACTCGCCTTCGCTCGGCCAACATGTATAGCCGGCTTTAGATTATAATAGACAATAAGGTGGGTAGGTGATTTAAAAACTATTTTGTAAGGTAGTTCATATATTTTATTTTTCTACCTACCCACAAAACAAGATATATATATATATATATATATATATATATATATATATATATATATATATATATATATATAGAAGACATGAGGGGACGCCTGTGCCCAGCTGTGGGACGTATGTAGGTTGTAACTTTAACTTTTTAACTTTAAAAGATAGTCCTCAGGATTCCCAGGATTAATTCCCAGGTTTCATGCTGGTTCTTCCCAGGACAGAGGTATTCTCTAAACCGGTGGTAGAAGTTCTATATTTAATATTAATTATAAATTATATTTTAACATAATATATTTCAACATTCTTGCGGATTTTCAGCGTGAAGTAGCAGCTTAATTCTGTTAATGCTTAATAAGTGTGGGGAACTTATATAACTTAACATTAGTTAAAGTTTGTGCTCGTTTATCACCCTTATTCTATAAAAATATAATTGGGCAGCAAAAAAAGTAATTTAGTGCAGGCTACATTGCTGGAAATTCTGTAAAAAGTATTGTATACAAAATTTTTACGTATCAAATACAAACGTAAAATAAATACATAAATATACTTTCGGTACAAATGGTACCATATTTAACAAAGTAGAAAATATTCAGAAAATATTAATTAGATAACATAAACACTCACGCCTGTCACCCAGAGGGGTAGGCAGAGACTACAGACTTCCATTTGGCACGATCCTGACACACCTCTCTCGCCTCCTTCACATCCATACACCTACGCATGCATGCTCGTCGGTTAAGGGTACTCCTAATTTGGCCCGTTTTCAATAAATCGCCAATTTGGTCGATAAATTTTCGCCTAGGACGTCCCTTTCCGACTCTGCCATTCACTTCTGCAACATAAATTTTCTTTGTCACTCTTTCCTCATCCATTCTTTCCACATGACCAAACCACCGAAGCATTCCTTTCTTAATCCTGGTCACAACATCATCTTGCAAACCACACTCTTCTCTTATCACACAATTTTTCACCCTGTCATTCAGATTCAGCCCTAAAATACTCCTTAACGACCGCATTTCTACTGCATTTATTCTACTCTCGTGCTTCTTCTGCCATACCCAACTTTCACTACCATACGTTAAAGTAGGGACCAACACAGCATTGTGAATTGCCATACGTGCCTTTTTTGACACATTTTGACTCTTCACAATAGAGTGCAGGGCTCCATTTACTCTGTTTCCTGCGTTCACTCGTCGCTCTATATCCTTATCATATCTCCCATCCCTGCTAAATACGCAACCCAAATATACAAACTCATCTACTTGCTCGATCAACTCCCCTTCTATTCTTATTTCACATATCGTTTTACTTTCATCTCTTTCAAAAATCATTTCAAAAAACATAACAATAATTAGATAAATATTAAATATTAATAATTAGAAGTAGTTATGTTATCTTCTTCCTCATCTGTAACTCTCATTACAAGATACTACCACTAACTATACAACAACACTAACACTACAAGATAGAAAAAACAATTCGTATATTTTTGAAGTGAAAACTGCTTTAGCCGCGTGAGCGATTTTTGCTAGGAGAAAAACTTATGGGTTCGCGTCACAGATGACCTCGAAATAAGCATGTCTACTACGCATCGCTAGTTTAACGCTTTTGATAACACCAATATCACAGTATCAGAGTAAGGAAATCACAATCTCTGTACCCTAAATAGGTACCTAAAGATCATCATATCAAACATGGTTATTTTGTCACCTTTAGGGGTGAAATTTTTTCACCAAATTTATACGGGATATCTTCACGAATTGTGTACCGATTAAGAATCAAAATACAGAATATGCGTCGTCAACTTTGAGACCTAAAACGGCATACCGCATTTGCAGTGAAAAGAGTATCCAGATCACTACACTCACCATATGAAACACAGCGACATTGACCTGTTATTTTACGTTGGTATACTGATAGATAGTGGTCTTACTCGGCCAAACCGACCTATTCATGCTACAACCATAATATTGCTGCAGCACGGCTCTCCCACTGGTCTGGCATGGGTTTCTGTATTTTAAACCTATCGTATAGAAATGTTTATAGCGCCATTTATCGGAATTCCCACAGTCGTCTCTTACGAAACCAATACAAGATATTGTTACAAGCTTGAGGTTCGTGACAATAAAAATTGCCGATAGAATTACCTAAATTAACACTTTAATTTTCTTTACACCAATTAAAACTTAAAACACTAAAAATTAATCACACTGATTCACTTTATTCCGCTCCGAAGCTTCGCTTGCCTCGCCGAATTCAATACTTCCCCCGATCGCATCTTGCAGCGCCTATAAAAATAAATTAGCACCGAAATGTCCAGAATATTCAAGTAAACACGCGCAAGGTACCGAGAGTTCGAGTTTCAACTTCAAGAAGTTTAGTTCTTCGGTTCGAGACTAGATGGCGCTAGTGCCGTTGACTTAGGCGCGTAACACTGCCCCCTCCTAAGACATGCTCGTCCCGAGCATTATCGGCCCCATAATAACGCGTCAGGCGATCCACATGGACGATCTTAGGAGTCCCTCTTGCGCTTTCCTGTATCCGGTAGGTTACATCGTTGATCCTGGTCACAATCCGGTACGGGCCGTCCCATTTAGCTTGAAGCTTAGGAGATTTCCCTTTGCTGCGGACTGAATTGTGCAACCACACAAGTGAACCTTCGTCGAACCCTTTGTTGTTCATTTTGCGGTCGTACCGGTTTTTCATCTTTTCAGACATTTGCTGGCCCGATTGTCTGACGTGCTCATAAACGTATTCTATGTATGTCTGCTGTATGTCTGCACCAGGTTCCCTTCAATGAGTTCAGTGTGATTAATTTTTAGTGTTTTAAGTTTTAATTGGTGTAAAGAAAATTAAAGGTGCAACGCCGCAGACGTCGGAGGGCCAGCCACCAAATCTTCGTTGGTCCGTCTCCTGATGGCGTTGACTTCGGGTACGGACACCCTCCGTTTCCTCCTTAGGTAAAATCG